ATATAAGTACATATGTGTACACCGACCATTTAAGGACACATCTCCCTTGTGGCGGCAATTTCCGCGGCTACGCTGGAGTTGGGTAACTGCACCTGATGACGCCTAATGAGGCAGAAATAGCTATCGTGCATGTCCCTTAACTTTTGCCGATGATGTCTACTAAAAAATGTTACTGCAATCTAGTAAGCAACATATAATTAGTCATGTGGAAGCGGTTGCGCGATTTGCAGCCACCCATGACAGCTGAAAAGGCATCACATACCAGGGCAGATGTGTCCTGTATATGGTTGGTGTACACATATGTACTACTGTTTGCCAACGAAGACAGAGGAGACTGGGATGGACATTTTTCTCTTATTAGGCACGGTCAGCTAGCCATACCCAATCTCAAGTGATGCACCACCCGAAGCTCGAAGTCGCAACCCTTTTGATCAGAAGTCTAACACTCTAACCATCGAGCCACGGGCTCGTTGTCTTGTCGGTTTAGCTTAGGAGATATAAGCACTCGATTATGAACGTTCACTGATCACTAACGGGATTCACTCGTCCCGCCCTGCCTTGGGACTCATTCACTGCCTAGACTACTAGCCACTGTGCCGCTGCGGGCGGAGCTGCAAGGCAGAGCCGAACTAGTGAGTTCCGTTAGCGATCGGCAAACGTTCATTAGCGAGTGCCAATTCTCTTTCTACATTTTCCTTGTAAGTAGCGTTCCTCTTCTAGCGGTTTACGAGCCCCTTTGCTGATTTCACTATTTTGTATACAATAATATCGCGCCAAGCGAATGGTGCCCCTGATCTTGGTGGTTTACAGACACTCTTTTCTCCGTAGGCGGTACGTGTTGCATGGACGACACGTTTAAGCGCGCCACTGAGCCCTGGGAGCGTTGTGACGGTGCTATCCGTCTGATCGGCGAGCTCGCCTCCCTGGCACCAAGGTTTGTGACTGACACTCTCATCGACAAGATGGTCTCCGCTGCTGCCATCTCCCACTACCCTCACTATCCATACCTCCTCGAGACTGGTGAGTTGGCTTTTTCCCCTCGTTTATCCTCCACTTTAGTGGATCTGCTATCTCATGAAATTCTATCATCAGTGTGCGTTAGTCTTTCCCTCCTTCGAACTCCTCTGAGTTGCTGATCTGCCCCCTTGAGGTTCCAGTCATTGGACAGTCCCTATTCGGTCGTCCTAGTACATATACGTTCAAATGAGGCCAGGGTCTAAGTGGTAGGAGCTAGCACAACTCTCTTTGCCTCGATCAAATTACCCCTCCATCTTTCCGCTTTTGATTTTGGATTCATGACTCTTCTGTTGTTTCAGCCTGTAGAACAATCGGCTTCATGTGTACAGGACTGGATAAGGCCATGTTCAAGCGAAACCTGGACTCTTTGTTGCCGGTGCTAGCTTGGGCAGTGAGTTCCGGTATGCCGCTGGCTGTCTCTGCGGCTGAGGACTGTCTGGCCACCCTGTCCCAGAAACTTGGTCCCAATGTGCTTCGCAGTCGCGTCGCGAATCACTTTGAGGTCACCACGGTTCCTCGTCTGCTTGAAGTCCTACCACCGATCCCCTATTAGTGCAGCTGTGTTTGCACACAGACTTTCCTTGTCCACCGTTGTTTTTCCAGCGCAATATCACCGCCCATGTCTGACCTCCACCAACAAAATCCCGCTTGTCCCTTTCGAACTTTCCTTGGAAACTCGTTTTCAAATTTAACATAAAGCTCGTCAGGCGTTTGTGTGCCTCTGCGTGCATGCGTGTGCCTGCACTAGTTGTGCTGCTTTTTATTTTCGACGATTTGAGTCCTAGGCTGTCTCTTACGCTATTTGGTTTTGCGGTTGCATATCGGCAGGAAAGAAATGTGATTATCGGTCTGCTCTGCTGATTCACTGGAGGCAGAGTCTATCCCAAGCAGGTTGTTGTCCTCGCTCGTTTTGAGAGCTGGAGATAGTGCCACGCGTTTTGTCAGAAAGTTCCCCCGGGCTGGTCTTGTGAATCAGAGTTTGGCTCAGGCATAATTTTACCTTGTGGCAGGATATAACAGATTGAAGAAGGAGGGTTCTGGAACCTTCAATTTCTGTATTGTTTGAATGTTTTCGGTTTCGCTTATTGGTTTACAAAAAAGGAGACAATCACCGGGCGGCCGAGGCATCGAAGGGACACAAGAAGATACAGGCAGCAGATTTTTCTAGGGCTAGTTTTCGCTTTAAGCTGGAGTTTGGCTGGCGTATGCCAGTAGTCCGTAGTTAAATGCAACAAGGCTCACTAGTTTTGGCTTTTGCGCACACGGTGAGGTACGTTTTGTGCGGTCTGTTAATATGTGATAGTTCGACCGTCGTTTTCGACTATGTCCACCACGAGCTTCCGCAAGCTGGAGGCAAACGCGGCAACTGTAGCTGAATTATAGTGAAAGTAGACCCGCAGGATATATCTCACGCCTGTACCCGATGTCGAGAGAAAAGTTAGGAAGACCGGAGATGGGGAGGGCGCAGGTGGCTGGTGAGACCGAGGTTGCCCCTAAGCGTGTCACCATGCTCAGTTTCGCAAGATAAGCACGGAGCGGCTGGCTGGATAGCCCCTGCGAATACACAGACGAGGGCGTGACAGCCATAGCCGCTATCACGCCGCCCACAGATTCTCTGGGCGACACTAGTCGGTATTCACCCCTTCCGGATCAGAGAGAGAGAGAAGATGCAATTAACCGGGCAACCATAACCACGGTCTGTAGCCCCAGTGGGAGCGCAAGCGCATACATCGGCAGCGAATCAAAGCCAAAAAATGCCAGCGCACACCAGACCGCAGGGGCTATGGTTTGCTGAAGCGTGGCGTCGCATACGCACAATCCTTACATCTCGGGTGAGGGAACAGCCCTGCACTTAGTCTAGGCCTTCACCCTTCGGAGACTGTTAATATGTAGAAACGGAACGAATGCACCGTCGACAGTCATAGCAGTATTCGCATGGTCAGTCGGTTTCATATTCATAATACGGAGTGTAGAAGTAGACAAAAATGATGAAAATTACTTCAAAGTAGATATCAGCGGAGGAAGACCTCTGTTTAGCAGTTTTAAAGAGATAATCTGGTCTTCAATTAACTAAGGCCATATTTACTGCAAACGTTCGTTGTGGACATTCACTTGCTTCGCGATTGGGCTTCATGTTTGGGCGAGTCCACAAATATCACCTAAGCCACCGTCTTCCTACAAAGGACGTCCGAGAACTCACTATTTCCGTAAATGCCTTCAAGGGCTCCTTTATTTTGGAGGTCTTGGTAGAGGGAGAGAATAGAGACTGCAAAGTATTTCAGGAGCACCCCGAAAGTTAGCCGACTCCACCATTGCCAATAATAACACAGTAATTATACGACAGAAAAGCTCGCTTGCTACACAGAAAACGGTATGTTAGCGGTTACGTCTTGTTCTCCTTCACGGTCGGTTATTTACCTTCCTCTTGACACGAGGTCTTACCCCTCTGATGTCCCTCTCCTTTGTCTTGGTCAGCCGCGTTTCAAGCAGTGCGCAAACTGGAAACAATCCATGGAGTTTTCGTGACACTGTTTTCAAGCATTAAAATCTCAGGCAGTTGATGAATTGTCATACTCTATACTAGACTATATCTCGTAAGATATTTACATCGATTTTTAATTTCCCCCAGAAATTAATTTCGAGGTAGATCAGTATCTTCGAGGGGTTACAAGTGCAGACCGAAATTTGATAGGAATATTTGGCGACCGAAGTCACTGCGAGATAACCGTGTAATATTCGCAAGCTGCCATCAGGCAGTCAGTAGTATAATTTATGCAATTATTAACTATACTGGCAGCACAGGTACTAGCTTGAAGCCCGGACACGTGTTCCTCCGGTATAATGAAGTTGCTTAACATAGCTGCGGGAGCTCCGTCTCACTAGTGGGTCTCCCAGCAGTGCCTGTCTGCTTTTTTGTTTTGAGACCTCAGCTTTTGATTTTCCGCAGAAATTAATTTCCCACTAAGAGTGCAAGGATTTACGGGTGTGCGCAAAATAATATTCCCTTCATCATCCCCGAAAGAGGAAGTCAGAGAAATTATCTGCTCATGTCTCTGATGATGAATCCGCGATGGATTTCGAAACGTCAGGCGAATAAACGTATTGTCCCAGCAATCGACTCGTCTTCTCGCGTCTTTTGCGTTTTTTAATTAACTGGTCTCCGGTTTTTGACTGATTTACTTATATCAGTTTCCGAGTTGTAAGGGGTTAGGGGTAAGTTAACGTGTTATACGAATTGCTTCATCCTCTGTATTATCAATATCATGCAGACGTAGTGGGCTACTTCTGAACGGAGGGTAACATTCAAGCTCCGTTTCCGGCGGAAGTTCACCGAACATGGAACCACTTGATTACCAACTTGAACGTTTGGAACCGTACAGAATTTCATCGAGAAGACGACAGCAACGGAACAGGCTATAAGTAAGAGGTGTTTAAGACGGTTAACAACCAGTGCTGCAACTGCCGTGTGGCCGGTTTTGAATGCGGGCTGGCGTTAAATATGCTGGTTTACGGTGCTCTCACAAGAATTCCAGGTATCGATCGACTTCGGTTTCGCCTTGCCCTGTCAAATCTGTGGAAATTGACTCGATCACCCTTATTCGGCAGTAATCTGAGATAATTAGTCACCAATGACAAATAATTTCGCCCATATTTCATGAAGCCAACTTTCATTAGGGCTGAAATGGGCCGTTGACGTGTGGAATATGATACAATGTGCGAGATTTTTCACTGGGGTGCAGTCCACGAACTTCATTACATGGTGTTGGACGTGGGCTGGTGTGCGCTCCCAAAACCCATTTCGTCGAAAATTCGTCCACGTATGTGTAAAAAATACTGCACCGACAATTCAGCATCTGAAGCCTTCCCTTAATTCTCTGGGATAATGCTACGAAGGCCACTTATGTGGGATCTCCACAGAAATAAATCACAAACGTATCAGGATCGCCTGCTTTGTTAGTCGGGTTACTGTGGCAGGTTGGAATCTACGTGAAATATATCTTCACATAGCTCTTTTCGCCTCAAAAATGGGATATTCTGAAAGTTGAAAGGTTAATACCGCTCGCCTGGACACTTGTTTTTTCCTAGTCCTTTTCTTCACTTAGACCACCACACCCATTTGGCACGATCACCACCTAGAAATAAGCACATTCAAAGCAAGGATGGATAGACGCCAGTTTTTCTTCCGTAACAGAGTGGTTGTAGCGTGGAGCGCTCTGCCCGCAAACGTTGTTCTTTCCACCTGTGTGAATTCCGTCAAGTACAAACGCGACATGCATTAAGCTTCTCACTTACCAACTGCACACTAATCCACACAAGCTCACCAATTGTGTGTACTTATACTACTCCGACCCTAAATGTAGGTGTGCGCCTGTAGACCCTTGGCTATAATGATCCACCCGGCGAAGAGAAGGCAAACAGCAGACCTACACAAAGTTTGAAATTAATTTATAGGGAAATTTCAATAACTACAATTTTGAAATGGAATGCCTACCAGAACGCACACCGGGAGTGTTGGGGGACCTGCAGATGAACCGAACCCGTCATAGCTGTGCCACGCAGCGGCAGGATATCGGCAAAACATGT